TAGATTTTTGGTGACTGTTACATTAACGAAGAATTCCAATGGCACAGTTAGATTTTGGCTATAATATAAGAATTCACTCTAATGAATTGTTGACTAAAGTAAATACTTATTTTCTTCACAGATAGGCTTTGAAGACAGACTGCCTAAACAAAAGTTCACCTTGAATAATAGTTACCGGACTGGGTAGAGGCGTTTCTGTTTTGCTGTATTTAGGAAAAGCTAAAAGCTTAAAACAAGAGATGGACATATTTTGGCACGTGTTCTAGGAAGAGAAAGTACAGTTAGGCAATCAAATTCATTAAATATATTCTTGAAAAGGTGTGGAGCTAGTTTCAGGATTAGGACTGCAATCATCTGTATACTTCGAAGTATTATTAACAGTGCTATTAACTTACTTTCCTTATTTGATAATAACAAATTTCAAATTCAAACTTAATAATCACATGTTGCCAGTTGATAATATATGTGAACAGCAGAGAATAAGTTTCACTGAAACTTTCTGCTAAAAATGTTTTCTTAACTCTTCAATCATAAAAACACCATGTGAATTTTAATTCAATGAGATTTACCCCAAAGAGCCATCAGTACATGTTTCTAAATTACAGAGGTTGGAACTCAGACGAGAAACCCAGTTTCACATTTTGAAGAAAGAATAAGAATGGATCGTTGTCCAAGTACGTTGCTGAGTATTTAAAAAATGACAATAAGTTGGAAACTCGAGGGGAAAGCAAAAAAATTAAGCTACTTAAGAAAACAGTGGATATCAGTCTAGTCTAGAAGGTGATAGGAAAGGAGATCTCTTTTACTTATGGCTACTACATTTTTCTTTTATCATGATACACTTTTATGTTTATATGAAAAATGTTATGGGATGCCATTATCCTCTGCTCACATGGGTTATCTTCCTCACAGGTACTGCACAACCACAAGCCATGTGTAAGCTATGAAGCAATTTATGTTTTCAGTGAAGTACTTAAAGCTAATTGTTTGGGGAGTATTTTGTCAAATAGTCGTAAGATACGGTTAGCATCCTTTCCTTTATCCAACCGAGCAGTCACCGTTTACCTGTTCAGTCTAGGAAGATAGTTGTAGAAATGGCAAGGAAGAAATATTCCATCTTCTCATATACATACATTTGCACAGGTAACTTCTTTTTAGTCTTTTGTCATTTAAAATTGCTATTGTGATAGCTGGAAAAATGTTGAGGAAAATGCACTAATTTGACTTTTTAATTTTACTTATTTGCTTTTGTGGGGTAGATTTTACTGCAAATGAAAAATGTCCTTACAGGTTTTAATTGAGGCTTTCTTTTGTATGTATCCTTTTTATAGTTGAAAGCATTGCTCACCCTTTCATATTGAATTTTTGTATTTCTTAGTAAAGGTTGAAACTGGGTAGTATTTGGATTGAAACAACTGATCATCCAGGTTGTCTTTTGTGTCACCTGTACAATTGCCATCCACTGAAATTAGTTTGCTTTTGTAGGCTTTGGACTATGTTACAGCTTTGAATATATTTTTGTATAATGAGAGGTGTATGTTTGAGTACCCATGTTAATAGTGAGGAAAAGTGCATGCTTATTAAAAAGAAAGAAACTGTATTTGACACATTTAAAAGTACCATAACTCATGAATTATTGACTAGAATAATTGTCTACTTAAAACTTACTTTCTGAATACAGAGGCCAACTGGAATACAGTTGGAATACAATACTTACTTTTTGAATACAGCAACCATCTTTTTATAAAAAGGAAACAGGTTCTGAAAGGTGATTAAACATTGTCTGTTGGAAAAATGAGAATAGCTCCCACATTAACCATGTTTACAGCAACTAGAAACTTGTCTCATAGTTTTCTTTAATCTCATGTATGGATGTTTTTAGTGTTGTAAAACATGAAGCCTAATGATTTTTTGCAGACGAGTGGAAACTGAATAATAGCAATTTTAGCACACACCAGATATTATCAGATAATTCTGCTACCAAATGTCTGCAAATGAGAGGATACTGAGGGCTGTTTTTATATGTGATTTATAAATACATTGATTAGGGCGTTCTGATACGCCTCTCTTTTTGAACAAGTATTATAAGTTGTCTGCTAGTAATACAGTGAAAATTTTTTGCAGGCTGTGAATGAATTTTGCATAGACTTTCTAGCCTGTTAGTTTTGAGTGATAGTAATTAGTCGAGACATTCTCCTGAATAAAGCAGTAGAACTTATTTTGTATATACTAGATAATGTTGCTAAGTACTGAATACGTACCTTATTTAATTAAGCTTCATGAAGTGGATTGTTATTCAAGGAGCAATAGCTGAACTTCTTTTGATTCTGGTCACTGAATTGTTTGGGTGTTTTTTGTATTAGTGAAATTAGCTTGTCAGTTAAACATAGCTTTCTGGAGAAAACAATTTTAAACATTCGGGATATACAGAGGGCTTGATTTGGATCTCACTTATGCAGTGTACAATATGATATTATTGGTTTGTCTTTCCCTGCTAGAGTTCTCATAGTGTTCTAGGGATATGGGACTTTTATTTTTTTATTTTAATTTTAAAATAAAGGGAATATTTAAACCAGAATTATTTAAAATGAACATTTTTTTCATCACATTTTTCTGTGTCTCCTTTTTTTTTGTATGGACAAGCTAGTTTGCATGTGGCATTGCTTGTCACCAAATACTTATATCACTTTCCAGCTCTATGAGGTGCATTGTATGTCTCTTACAACCTGATGGCTGGATTTTTCTGTATTTGGAATTTCAAAAATGAATTCAACTCTCTTGAAAATTTCATGAAAACCTGAAATGGCAAATAAAATGACAGCAACTTGCAGTTGCCTTTGTTTTAGGCCTTGTTTAAGCTTTTAAGCCTAAGCTGGTCTGGAGAATCCTTTTTGTTTTTAAATGAGTACTGCTATTTTTGGTGCAAAATTAAGAAATCCTGAATACTTTGGGGAAGTTTTACTCAAAGAGCTGAACAGGCTTGTTGAATTTGTTGTATTCCATGTGTTGGTGGGTTGACCTTGGCTGGCTGCCAGGTGCCCACCAAGCCGCTCTTTCACTCCCCCTCCTCAACAGGACGGGGGAGAAAATAGGATGAAAACCTCATAGGTGGACATAAAGACAGGGCAATCACTTACCAATTACCATCACGGGAAAACAGACTTGACTTGTGGAAAATTAATTTAAGTTATTGCTAATTAAAATAGAGTTGGATCATGAGGAAAAAAAAGACAAAATCTAAACCACCTTCCCCCACCCTCACTTTTTTCCCAGTCTCAACATCACTCCTTCACTCCTCACTCTTCTACTTCCTTGCCTTTCCCGCCCCGAGTGGCGCAGAGGGGTCAAGGAATGGGGGTTGCAGTGAGTTCATAATGCTTCATCTCTGCTGCTCCGAGGGGTCGGGGAATGGGGGTTGCAGTGAGTTCATAACGCTTCATTCTCTGCTGCTCCTTCCTCACACTTTTCCCCTGCTCCAGTGTGGGTTCTCTCCATGGGCTGCAGTCCTTCAGGATAAAGCTGCTCCTGCGTGCGCTCTCCTCGGGCTGCAGTTCCTTCAGGACATCTCCATCTGCTGTGGCATTGGGTTCTCCATGGCCTGCAGTAATACCTGCTCCACACCTCCAGTGTGGTGCTCCATGAGCTGCAGGGAAATACCTGCAGGGGAATCTCTGTTCCGGCGCCTGGAGCACCTCCTCCTCCTCCTTTTCTGACCTCGGGATTTGCAGGAGTGTTTCTCACACTTTCTTTACTCATGCTGCCAGGCAGCATGTTGCCCTTTCTTAAATGTGATTTCCCAGTGGTGCCACCAGCATCACTGATGGGCTCAACTGTGTCCTGTGATGGATCCATGCTATATCCAGCATGGGGCAGCCTCTGGCCTCTTCTGACAGAGCCCACCCTGCAGCCCCCCGCTACCAAAACCTTACCACATACACCCAATACAACATGCAGCATGATAGTGTATCTATTCTTAAGGGTATAGAAGAGAAAAAATTTCTGAATATAAATGTTTAAGCACTCAGTGGATGTGACAGTGGTGCACTTGGGTGTTCTCGGGAGTAGAGGAACATGAGCAAGATTACGGAGAAGTATTTTATATGTGAACGGGAACAGTTGTATTGGGTCTGGCTGAGGCGGAGTTAATTTTCCCCATAGCAGCCCTCATAGTGCTGTGCTTTGTATTGGTATCTAGAAAGGTGTTGATAACACACCAGTGTTTTGGCTACTGCTGAGCAGTGCTCCACAGCATCAAGGCTGTCTCTCCAACATTCCCCCCCACCAGCCTCACCCAGCAGGCTGGGGGTGGGCAAGAGGTTGGGAGGGAACATAGCCAGGACAGCTGACCCCAACTGACCAAAGGGGTATTCCACACCATATGATG